TATAAGATTGATTATTGGTTTGGTTTGGTTAAGTTAGATTATCGGTTAGACTGATCTCTATAAGAGATATGTAAATGTGTAACAAAATCTTTAATGAGAAGAACAACATTTTCCCATTTCTCTCTCTATCGTTACCGCTCTCTTCGAGTTATTCTTGTTCACTAACAATTGGATATAAGCCTTCTTATAAGAACCGTGAGAGTCAAGGTGATGCCCAGGAAAGTACTTGTGGACGCAAGCTTAATGGGAGGCAAGGGGAGACCGTCATGATGGAAGTGAAAGTCCTAGCAGTACTATAGACAGTAGTTTAGAGAGGGAGGTGTATAGAGAGCGATGGTACGCTAAGGAGACATCATATCATGAAAGTAAATGGCCTGAACACTCTCCTAGACATCGGGTTACTCTAAAAAAGTTTCATGGGAGGTACTCCGATGATGATTCTTCTGATGGAGATGACTATGGCAGCAGAAAAACGGGTCACAAATGGAAATCCAAGGGAGGCACAGATTCAGAAGTCCACGAGCTGGTGGACGATGAAAAGGACAGGAGAAACCACATGAGTTCAAGAAAATACAACATGGAAGTGTCATCAGCTGATCAAGAGGAGAGTCATGAACATGATAGGGTTCATACAGGTCGTGATAAGTCAAGATATTAGCATGAAATAAGCAGCTCAAGATATTCACACGAGGGAGACTCAACTGAAAATAGACATCACCTGCATAAAGGATCAGACCTTCAAGAGGATGACAGGAAAAGAAGTTTGGAGTCTAGTCCCATATATTATCAGTCAGATAAAGATAGGGACAAAAGCAAACAGAGACATAGATACAAGACTCGAGATCCTGATTCTGACCGAAGCAGGGAAGGAAAACGACACATAAGAAGCTTGAGAAATGGTGTAAGCGTCCGAGAATCGCCAGAACTCAATGGAAATGGAAAGAGAGAAAATGCAAGTGGTTCATCAAGTGATAAGGAGAGTTCAGGTAAAGAAGAATTACGCAAATAGAGACCTCATCACCATAGAAAAAGAAGAAGATCACAACAATCACACGACCAAACTCCTAAAAGAATCAGAGAAGGACGAAGGAGAGATTGAGCATTGGAGACCAATGTGATCTTAAACAAGAGATGATCGTGTGAGTGTCATTGATTGGCCTCTTCATTTCTCCCCGCAGATGCAAACACAAACATAGAGATTTTAATTTCAAAAAAAAAAAAAAATTTTAATTTTATCACTTTAGTTAAAGAGTTTTTTTTTTGTTGACGAAAATCGAATTGAGTTTATGTTAAATTAAATTTGGTTTTTGTCAATTGATATATGGCAAAACGATCATTTTAATACCGAAACTGTCCGGTTTGTGCCTAAACAAATATCAACTTGTTGTTTCAAAAAATAAAAACAAATACCAACTTCTTAATGAGTCATAAAACACACATGTGTTGACTCGGCCACATTAAGTATAAAATTAGTAGCCGTTTAAAAAACGTTAACCACCGTTTAGTGTAACTGTTAAATCTCAAAACGACGTTTTGAGATTAGGGAAAATTGTCATTCTAACACTAAACTCTCTGTTTTGCGCTAAAAAATACCAATTTTTTAATAAATCATAAAATACACAAATTTATGTTGAGTTGGCCAAATTAAGTACAAAATTAAAACGAAATGTATGTATATTCTTCGCGGCAAATTTTAACATCAAACAAAGAAAGAGAAGTTAATCGGTCACCGGCTGCACGATGACGATAGCGACGCCTTTCAGTGGTGCTGCGAATTCGGTTGCGGCGGCGAGGGCCGTTCTGATAACGGGTGTGGCAAAGGTCTGGAAAGAGCCCTAGTTCTCGAGCTGGCGAAGAGAGGTCACATTGTGATTGGATGCGCTCGTACTCAGGAGAAGCTCACCGCTCTTCAATCAGAGCTCTCCTCTCCTGCCAATCATCTCCTCCTCACCGCCGATGTGGTAATTTCCGCTCATCGAACTCTTATGCTTGAACCATTTCTATTGTGTGATATTCAGTCGGTGTTTCTGGTCGTAATTGTGGAAGAAATTACATGTATCCACTAAGATGTGTTTAACCAATGGCTCAGATTGGTATCCTAGTTTGCAAACGACGTTAGTTCAACCGCTCGTTTGTTACCATTCAAACGGTCGTTTGAAAAGGTCGTTTGAAACGGACGATTGGAAAACGAAGTTTCAAACGGAAGTTTGATAAAAAGGTCGTTTGAA